TCTCCTTTGCTGAGTTGTTCACAAATAACACTCTTTAGTCATCATGTTTAATGGAACCAATCGCGTTTCACGCTGGCAAATCATCTGTTCTAATACATTCAAAGCAACTTACTTGGCACACTGTAATGGAAAATATTACCCTCACTGCAGACTCTTTGTCTCACACATGGGTTTCCTTACTGCTCGGTGGCGAATAATGCGAGCATGATATTTGGCTGTGCTGCCTGGCGAATTTAGAGGAAGTCATGCCAAATAGGCCGATTGATGGAGGTTACATGATGCGTTGGAATGTGGGCACTGCTTAGCAGAGTCCAAAATACATTTTCTGGGATTAGTATTGCCTGTTTGAGAGTACAGACGATGTCCTGTTTTCTCAATCCACTATGTCTTTGAGATCCAGGGCACAGACATCCTATCATGTTTTCTAGTTGCATGACATTATCGTCTGACGCGGTTACTCGAACAACAACAGTTGTGCCTTAGTCTTTCCAATCGAGTTTCTTCGCAGAAACATCGCTTTAGGGATGACATATTTTCCTCGTACGAGTAATATCTCCTACAACTTGTGATATGCTACGTTTTCTGTTCAAATATCAATGACTTCACTAAGTTTCTTACGTGGAGGTAAAAGAGAACAAAACAAGGCACTTCATCTTACAGAGTGAAGAAGAACAATGAAAGCCTGAACATGAGGTCTATCCTAACACAACACGAGATTGTCAAACAATGCTGTTAGAATCATGTAATGTTGCAGCCAACTTTTATTATGATTTCGACGGTATTGCGAGACCATGATTGAGACATCATTTTGCCCGTCCATGCAGTCGGTAAGGCAGTGGCATGTAGCTGACGAAAAATTGCACCTGAAATAGAGGCTAGGCCGGATCGAGGCGAACCATCTCACCTGAATACACGTAGCTAGACATGTCTGCAATTCCAAAAGTCAGTGTGTTGAAATTCCTAGAATTTCTCATTGTATCAGAGAGTTTGCCAACATTTAGTGCTTTGCGCCCTAAGCCCCTTCTAACTAGTTGAGGTTGTACTTTAGTTGCTCCAGTAGTCACTTTATGACAAGGCCAATCCACCACTGTAAACTTGCATGACTTACATGACCAGGTGTCCTAGCTGCAGCCACAGATCCAGACTCGGTATGATTCGGATACCAGCTGTGACGCAGATTTAATCAGCATCTAGCAGTATCAACCAGGCATCGACTGGGGTGTACTTGCTGGACCCACTTTTGCGCTTACTCACTTGCGTTTATCAGCTAAGGAAAACACCTATGGTGAGATCTTGTGCATTGGTTATCTACATGGTGGAGTGAGAGGCAGTGATTTGCATGACTCGTAAAAGGCAATGGTCCATTTCCATCATAGGTAATACGAATACTGTTAGTTTAGGGAACCACATTATGTGATATGGTTCATAGTAAAAGTTGTTGACTCGATTAATTTATAGTATGAAAAGCTGGTATCAGTATATAGGAATAGCAAAGGATGAAGTCACTAGGGTCTTTAAGTGACCACACACACTTGAGATGCATGTCCGCTTAAAAAGAAGGCACTTTGAGTGCAGTGCTTACATTACTCAGGCTGCTCGGAAATCTTATTTCATAAGAGGTGTAAAATGAAAACCAGGGAAACGCAAATCAGGCAATTGAATAAGCGCATTTCAAAGTAACACGCTCTCATGTTAAAAATCTGTGTACTTTAAATCCCTATCCGATTGACGCATTGAAATGAAAGGAATGAAGATGCTAATTCTGCAATAAATATTTGTTTGTATATTGTTGTTGCCATTCAAACTCTGATGAGCATTGGTGTTGTTTACATAAGGGGAAAATGGGTATATAGTAACGCAAGTGTAGCAAAGACAGGATTCTCTGTCTGAAACGGCAAAGGAAATTCGTTTGAAATTAAGCAGCATATTTGTGTTATAGTCATATGTGCATGACTTGAAGAAGGTAATTAAGAATGAGTTCTTCTAACTCGGGCCATTTTATCACCAAGCATGGTGACTGAATGGCACAAAGGAGTTTGGCAGATGACACTATAGTTGTTTTGACAACACGGATATTGTAATGTTGGCTGGTTGCGCAATTAAACGGTCTTTGAATTGCAAAACACATTTTTTGGATTATGATGGATTTAAAGTAGCATTGCAGATACTATGTTATTAGCAGATTGCAGATAAAATGCTTGTATCAGTGTAAGTTTAAGTTATTTCTTGTGCAAAGATTTAAACAACATTTTCAAAGTGTGCACTTTATTTGACCTAACATTGTCGTTTGATTATTAGAGATGCCAATTTCTTATACCCTTTCAAAATTTGCCGGTAGTTTGATTTAATTATCTATTTTATGCTTTTATCCTGTCATGTAACACGTTTCGAATGTCACCCATACGACAGCGCCCTTCGCATATGCCTTGATGCCAAGTTGCTGTGTTAATCAAATATATAATTAGTTAAAATGATCATTTGTCGTAATGAAGAAGAGGACTTTGAATGAGAAAATGAATGTTAGTTTTGGTACTTGGTGGTGTTCGAACGTTCTACGGTGTCGCGCTCCTACTCCATACTTCTGATCGGTGCTTATTAAGCAGAGATGCATCTTAAATACACGGCTAAATTACCTGAGTGCCAGAGTCAAACAAACAATAAAGATGACCTTTCCTGATGACATTCAGGGTCTCGAGCATTTCACTAGATAGATTCAAATTGAATCTGCTCTGCAAAACATCGAATTACCACCACCACTGATAGGATGACCCATCCAACTGTCACTGATGCTACCGCAAGACAAACAGCAGCAGTGGTACCCAACAATGTACAATGCATATTTGTGTTATAGTCCGATGTGTATGACGTGAAGAAGATAATTGAGAATGAGTTATTCTGACTTTGGACATTTTGTCACCCAGTGTGCATTAAAAATTACAACGCAGTGATTAGTATTGCCAGAAGTTTTATGGTCGTGTCTTAGTATGCTGGCACAGAATTGAATGCGATTAGATAAAATTGTGCTCACGCAACTACAGCAAATCTACTTCTCACAATTCGTCCACTACTACCAATCATTTCCATTCATGCTGTCAGCCCAACCGCTCAGGTCTTTCCGTGAGTGTTAAGTATTGGTGTCATGGGTACATAATCTTTCTGACATGCGCTAACATCCTTCCTTAACAATCTATCATCCTTGTTAAATTTCCATTTTCAAAAGATTTATTAGTGCCTAACTACCTGTGATCTGTGTTGACATTGAAGGACCTTTGAAAAATTGATCAAAGTCGATTATCTTAGACAACAAAGTGTAATTAGCTGGGCCACAAAGCCTACTTTGTCCTTTAAAGTAGTGAAGAGGTGAATTCGGTAATTTGAATGCATTGGTCATCCACACCTCCTGCACACAGATATAATCACATCTTAACTTGTCAGCCTGAAAACGCTAATGGTTAGCACTACGCACTAAGGATGTGTAGCTAGTACCGTTTTAGTTGCAATCCTGCTGCAGCACTCTTGCCGAACCACAGACGTGGCATAAGAATTAGCCTACTTTTGCCAATTTTACTCATCCATGCCGGTAAATCTCCCACTGTTTATCCTGTTAACCAGCATGACTGGGACAAACTCGCTCCTGTATACATGCACGAAAGTTGATCAAACTCCGGTCATTTTGCATGATAATTGATGTCCTCGCATTAACTAATGCATAAATGCAGCTGGAATTTATGGTTTGGAGAATTGAACGAGTGGTCTATGACAGGTGTCATGCAAGCCTCACTCCCTCCGCTGTCAAAATTTTCATTAAGTGCTTTTTATTACTGGCGTCAATTTTGTGCCAGCTATTGCAGTTGGTTTCGCATCTGAAGCACTAAAATCAACCCAATGCTTAAATATCTGCATCGCAATTCGCATCGGTTGTCCTCACATACCGGTAAATACTCATTGTTTGGTAGCTGTAGGGCCTTTTTCTCCTGAATAAGGGAAAATAGATTGCTAAACACTGTTACGTTAAACTGACTCTAATATCACTTCCACTTTTGTCAACTTCAGTAGTTCATTCTTTCCTAGCTGTTTAAGCATTTAGCTTTAATTAGAAGAATGCTACCTACCAAAGTATGTTGTAGAGATCCTCCTCCATGACCAGTTTCACTTGAGGCATTAATTGTTCTCACTTTGACAGGCAGATGATAGATTTCAGGCCAATGTTTAAACTATTGCATTGTGACTACTTAAGGCGTGACATCATACATTTTGTTTGGCAAAATGAGTGTTCTTTTATGACTGACTGCATGTCTTAATCCTAGTGCTACTTCTATGACCCCCTGAACGGTAAATACCTTTGACACCATAATCATGTTAATAAGAAGGTTTGTCATCTGATATTTCAATGACAGGTCAGTTGAGAAGTTAGAGAGCAACAAATTACACTGGATTGAATGCATGACACGAGTTGTACATTTGTGGCCCTCACAAATGCGTGCATCGTATTTCATGAAGGATAGCCTTATCTTACTTTGTGCTCGTTACTGACCAGACAGATTCCTAAATCTGTGTCTTGAAGATAGAGGGCCTTATAAGGCATTTACTACCAGTTTCACCTTTAAGGACTTTAGCCATTGTTGAGTTACATGCTTGGTGGAGGTCCAAAAGGCTAACCAAAACCCCAATTCAAACGAAAATAACTTTATTTACTTTAATAATTACAGCTGACTTACACATAATGGTCTGTACCTAATGGGATATCATGAACACTCCACGGTCACAATATTCCGTCACTAGTCCTGGAATCATATTATGATAGTTAAATATGTTAACATTGCCGTAAACTGTTATTTTTACCTTGGTCATGGAGTCGAGGTAGAATGAACGAGTTTTCCCTTTAAATTGATAGCTTCCGACACCTAATGTAAAATCTCGGTTAAAAATATATTAAACTAAATCATCAATTGATTCCTTTTAGCAAACTTTAAAAATGCACTCAATTTATCGAGATTAAAAATTTAGCGACTACTTAACTAGCGTCTTTTGCTTCCATTCAAATAGGAATTGATGTGGATTTAGATTTGTGATAGAAATTGGGAGGTACAGTAATGGGTGTCAAATAAGTCCACAGCCATGCAAATGGAAAATACACTGCAAAGGCTAGGTTAAGGAGTAAGAGACAGGCAGATGGACAGACAAAGAGGGAAAAAAGCAAAGGAAGGAGATGAAGAAGGAGGGGGGATCAGACCAGACCAGATTAGATTATGGTTTAAGAAGTCTTTGCTTAGAGGAATTAGTTCAGTGTGAAGAAAACACAGACAGAAGCCCGAAAGTGAAGTACTGGAGCACTTTTAGTTTGGATCTTAAGTGAGCTGACTCCATTGATCTATATGTTAAGAAGACAAAGTCAGGATATGGTCGATTTGGTTTAAAGGAACATAAATACGTGAGATTGGTGGGTATTTCGTAACCTGGTCAGCTTTAGTGAGCTCTTGAATGATTTTTATGCGATACCCACAGTGTGAATTTGCTTACTTAATATACGAAGGCACTATCTCGCGTATAGTTGTCTGCCAAAAAGAAAATGCCAAGACTGTGGCTTACGAGAATATGAAGGCTCAAAAAGGAGAAAGATGAAACAGTATTAGGTTGCCTTCTGTATTCTCTCCTTCTCTTTCTTCCCCTGATCCCCTCCCAAGCAAATGCGTACATTTGTACGGATAGGTACACTAGCATTATGAGCTATAAAACACGCATTTTGCTTAGGAATAGATTAAGGGTAAAAGAAGGTGTGAAGAAAGGAAGGTGAAAAGTGCAATATCACTATATCTTCCTCCTTTTTAAGCCTTAATGTTTTCGTAATTTACAGTTCAATTCACCCTCTGGCCAGCACCTGGGAAGTAGGATGCGTGCAAAATATTTTCCGGTGGGCTTGAAGCGCCGTAGGACATATTGCTTTACTTCGACATTGACGCTAAGACCGTACTGAAGCTGCATGCTTCCACTGCTTTGATTTTGATTTAGAAGCTAAAAAACGTGCTCAGGTTTTGTTGTTTATGTCTGCACCATCCAAAAAGTTTCAACCCTTCTTGCGGCAAGGTTATTCAACCAAGCCGTTAGAGAATGCAACCATTATCTAAGGTTAACTTCGTACCTCTAGGTACTGCATCCCAGGTATCACTACGCCCAGGATCATAGCTAGTTAGATCCATGTCGCCTTCATTACCACTTTAATCCCACTGGAGGTGCTTTGTGCATTCTAGTAGATATTCGCGGGCGCGAATCTTGGATCACCTTTCAATATAAGACTGATTCATCACCACAAGTAGCTAATGCGTGCACGTGCTTACTGTCTTTTTTATAGGTCCTACTTAATTATAATTGCACTAGGTGGCTCACAAGGCTTTTACTGACTGTTACAAAGTGAAATGGGATACGCTTGATGGTGTAATATCATCTCTTCTTAACAATCGCATAGGTGGAAGCCCCATTTGGTCTTGAACACCCACTGTAGGTAAGATCAGTCGTTCAACGCCAGTGCGAGTCAACAGTCATTACTAGGAAGAGTATGCATGAAGGTTAAACAATGGATGTATCAGCTTCACTTTTATAACTCAGTTCAAAAACCATGATGGCTTTTTGTGAATGTTATTTGTGAATTTGCTTAAAACGCAGCAACAGTAAGGCTTGTCATGCAGATATCACCCAGAAATCGATGAACCAAGCCCAAGGTGGTTCTTCCTTCTTCATTATGAAGACTGTCGTGTATCAAGCACGACCATGAGTGAAGCTAAACTTCGTTTACACGTATAAAAGCTGGGCAGTCTTGGTCGGGAATCCCATCCATGCAATGTTGGAATAAAAAGCTGATTTGTGTGCCTATCATTAAAATGGGCCCCTTTTTAAAAATTGAAAACCTGTATTTTAATATACCTCTCTAAAACACCTGTGAACTCATTGCATTGTTCGGATAATATCTAAGAAGTAGTTTTGTGCAAAACACTCATTACGGCTGAGATATTGTAGGACAGCTTACTTTACTTGGGCATCCCTATTAAAAATTATACATGCTTCCAACGCTTTAATGGAAGTTTTGATTCCAGAGCTAATTAATAAGTTAAGTTTTGTTGCATGCTTTGATAGGATTTAGAATGACCCGTTCTCAGTGATAGTCGATGTGCCAGTCAATTAGCAGCATTGTGCGGGTGTGTCCACTCAATGCGACTTCGCGTCTTACTTTCATTCATCATCCATCACATCACATCGGTAGCCGCGCCGCCCATTCATGGCTCTACATACCACTGCATACGCATGACAGCTACTTAAATAAGAAAGTAGAAATTCTCCTATGACCATAATGATAGTCATTTAGGCCTGAATTTAGCAGAACCGAAAAGCGGTAATGAAAACACATCATTTTCAGTTGCGTCAGTAATTATTTTTTTTCAGAAAAATGACACAAGATGCTATTTCCATGGGATAGCTTTTGCACACTCATCTACCTCCATCTCGTCCTGCTTCCGCACTCTGTCAGCAGCACATTATGGCTGCTCAAGATCACAGACAGCAAGAAGTCATACAGATAAAGTTGCAACAGAAGGAATCAAATAATTGCTTCTATCATTCACGTAGGCAAGTGACATTTTATGCAGAATAGGTGATTGGGTCAGTTGGCATGGTGATACAAGTCGCCTGTGTCTCATTTTATTGTTGCTTAAAATTCAACAAAAGATTAAGTCCTTTGGCACCCGCAAGGGCAAGTTTTGAGCAAAGTAGCGTTAGAGAGATTGTCACCTTTGCTGGTGAATTATTGCGGCAGAAGTGATGGTGCCAGTGGACGTTAGTCCTGGTCGAAATACCGTAGTGATGCAGCCCCGGTGCATCGAAAGTTAGGATCAACAGACCCACCTAAGGACGAAGTCGCTGTCAGCATGGAAAGTAGAGCCTAAGTTATTGTTTACACCTTCGCTTACACAAAGATTTCTAAGAGTATCTTTTGGGTAAGAATGGATGCATTAAGCGTCCCCAGTACTCGTTTCTAGTCCTTCTGGAAAATTCCTATCCACTGAGGCGTAAAGCCAACTCATCTATAAACTAGCGTATATTTTAGCCACACTAACCATGCGCATACACACACAAGAAATGAAGAGGGGAGTTGACTTGAGGTAGAAAAAACAAGTGGTTAATCACGTCGTCTAGCCCAATGCAGGGATGATTGATGAGGCGGTTGATCTGCCATTCCATGAGTAGAGTACATGCTGTACAGTGACACAGCAAGCAAATATCAAAAATCGTGTTACTTGTTGCGTCTCAGTGGTGATAACCATCCCAAATTCATCTTCTTCTAAATCAAAATTTACCTCTTCGTCACCAATGGATCGCGCTTCCAGTTGATAGATGGGATGATTGGAGGAGGGGATTTATGAATTCAAAGTTTGCAAAGAGTTCATCCATCCTTTCTGCTGTCAATCCAGCCCATACCAGTTTCTTGTAGCTTGGTGACTCTACCATCAGTCAACGTGCCCCATGCTTATCACAAATGTCTCCAAGATGCAAGCCTATCAGTGACGTATGTGTGTCGTAAGCTGCAGCGAGATGCAGATGATCGTGGGGATGGAGGTCAAGCTCCTCCTCATCGGAGGGGGCTTACAACTTGGAGGGGTGGTGAGGTGGTTTCATCTTGCAAGTTACTACTTCCTCCTAATTGACCTCTTGTAGAATTCGAAACACTTGACACCGTCAATGTCCACACGCTTGTTGCTATTTTGTTTAACACAAACTTGGAAGAAATTTCGAGGAAGAAATGAGACGTTTACTTAACGGCCTGCCATAAACCGCCCTGTGCACAGACAGTCATCTATGGTGGCGGGACCATACTTGATGGTGGCTACGAGAATGCCCAGTTTCCAGCCATTCACATTTGTCAAGATTTTCACCTGATCCTTTACCTCATGCACCACGAATAAGGAGGTTCCAGTGAAGTCCGCCTTCTTGAGGAATGCCGCATTCCGAGCCGCGTAGTATGAGCGTATTAAAAGGTGGCCCGAATCAGCGAGAAGCATATTGTTGGATTTGACGTCTAAGTAGACGATGTGCATCGCATGAAGGCGGTCCACATTACAGATTATCCCGCAGCTTCGTTGTCATGCATCCTTTTGACTTAGAAAGCAAACATTTAGGATCAAATTTTGTAGGTAGAAACTGTTTCCTTCGTGTAGCACAAAGGCTGGGGTCCTGTGAATTCAAAAGCTTTACAACAAAGTGCCTAGAAGTGGGAGGTCGTGCTCTTGAAGAGCACACCGAACCACAGAATTATTCTGCAAATAAATGCGCTTTAAAGCCCACGTCATGAGTGTCGCCTTGTCACCTTTCTTTGGGTAGACTACCCCATAGACAACGGAGTGGGACCCGCGGAAAATGAATTTCAACACATTAGGTTTCTCAGGCTCCGCATCTCGACTCACTCTAGCGTCTGTTATTATAAACTTAAAAACTAATGACACTTTTATAAGAACTTTTGCGTTAAACAATCAAGTTTATAGGTTTATTGGTTTTTTATTGGGTGCGTCGCGATTGGTGGAACCAGACGTACTGGGATGAGTTGTTTAACATCGAACGTGACTGATTTATTCGCCAAATGTCATATATGGGACATGTGGTGACATTATTGACAGGGTTTACTGTGTGAGATGTAACAACTAACTCAGTATGGAATCCTTCCATTCATAGGTTAGCCTTTATGATTACCCCTGATCGGTAGGTTGACAACGAGTCAAATGAGACCTAAGCAGAGCGTAGCATGTTAGAGATTTGGCGGTGTAAGTGTGCAAATCGTTTTAGCCAAACCTTTAGTATTTTTAATCCCCAAATCTTGACTTCAATTTTGGAACAATTTTAAATAAGTAGCACCCCGACTTGCGCACAGGAACAAGGCCAAATGCCAAATATAAAATAAGCAAATTTAGCTGTGACTTTGACAGCCGTTGAGAGACATTTAGACAAGAAAAGTGATTCATGTGCTTCAGTGTCCTCGGCCATTTTGGGTCCAGTTAAGTGTGTCAGTGGATGAATTGACACCGCCTCGCTGATGTTTAGTTTAAACGTTGGAAAACCAGAATTTTCATTTTGGACTTCAAGGGAAGAGTCGCTGCAAAATAAGGTACGCAATGGCTGCCTATTTGCGCAAAACACACTCTCCTTTGAAAACGTGTCTATATGATCGGTGTGATTTGCTGATTGATACAAACACGTTAAAAATATCATCATTCCTCATCGCCTGACCAACGACAGGTTGATTCAGCTTCACTATCTTTACTGTCTTACGCGCAAGAGGATTCAGAGACTGTTTGCTTGTCATCGAGGTACAAATCACACAGATGTGCGTCTTTGCTCGCATTTGACCACATCGATACACTTACCATCTGCCATTCGCCATTAGCCAATTTGGTTGACTGGTATTAGCATGCAGTCTGAAGGAAAGGTCAAATAGAGCGGTGCTTATTAAAGATTTTACCAAAAGTACCATATCAAGAAAATATTCGGCAAAGCACATATTTTGGAGCAGAATTCTGGCTGTAGTCAACCATCTCATTGGCCACGGCTTAGTAAGACAATTTTTTCTGGGCTAAAATGACTGCGTCAATCCCCTCCCCCTTCAAATGGATTACGTCATTTATGACATTTGATCGTAGATGTTTCATAAGGTCAAGTGATGTAAATTCCGCGTGGAGATTAAACAGCCTCACTGGGCGCATTGACTCATGTCGCACGGGGTGGGTTAACATTGTCGGGCCACAAGGTGTGTCAAATAATTGCTCCCAAATATCACATCACTAAGTGACGATTAGCCTTGTGAGGCGTGTTTTTATTTTCACATGACAAATGACTGAATGTTTGGTGTTTTAGTGTCGCAGACCTTTTATTACATCACCCCACTAGGTGTGACAATTTGGGAACACGGGGGAACCTAGAGGTGTCACATTGGTGGTATCCGGTAAACGCTAAGCAAGACCTGATAAAAGCGAGGAATCACTCGCCATATTTGCTTTAACATTTTGTTGTCTTTAGTATCTCTGGTCTTGCATCCACTGCTGAAGGGCTAATACGGGACCTGGTTTAAGCACACTGGCTATTCCGAGGTAGATACAATTAGCCCTAATTTGCTCATAGAAGCTAATTATACTAATAATTACGAACAAGCTGTGGCGAGTCGTAATGGATCTGTACAATGCCCTAATTAAAAAAATTTGCTTTTGCGTACATTAGACTTTGAGAAGCGGATGACAAACATCCAGCCTTTAAATCAGGCACCCCAATAAAATTGTCACGGTAGAATCAGATGCAGGAGCAGAGACCGCATGGGACAATGCTCACTGGATAAACAGTGCCACTAAGTAATGCGATCTTTTTCTTAGTACTTCATCAATTGTGGGATATCTTTACTCTCCATAGCTTTCCCTTTAATTCGGATAATATGAGCCTCCACACACTAACCTCGCTTTCCTTCTTATTGCATTCCAGCTCAGCCCATTTCATTTATATCCATCAGAGAGATTTACATTCGAAGGGTTTAATGGGTTATTGACATAAAAATTGCTTCCCTGTAGTAATTTTACTGCATAAATGACTTCTTTGCAAAGATTTGAATGCATACCTTTATTGCAGTAGAACAATCACCAATGAGCACTCCAGCTCACCTACTTTTAATTGGTCAGTGATTGATTGCAAGAAGGTGCTTTATACTTGCCAATGTCCACTACAATTTCAGCGTTAGTTAAAAAGCAATTGAAATTACTCTCACCTCACCCCATATCTGTCATACTTATCCATGCTACTGACAGCCGTACTGACCACCCTGAGTAGCATCGGCTATCCGTCAGTGCCTACGCAGCCTCGCACACATATATTAGATTATTACACAGACCTGTGTGGCAAGTAGAATGTAGAGGGACGGACCCTCTACTCCATAAGGAAGAGCACACAGAGGTGCAGAAAGGCATTTATTAATTGAAGCAACCTACTGAGGTCGAAATACTTGCAACAACCAGAGGTGTCATACACTGTCTATTACTTGTTGAGTCAAAAATACTGCACATGTGGAATGGAACTACCGTATTGTATTGTGGATTCATTGAAGGTTGAATGTTTACCCCTGAAAAAACAGAAATAAACAAATATAGCAAAGTAATTCATTTTTCTTGCCTCAGAAGGGGTAACAAAGAGTGCCGATTCATTCCTAGCAGTTAGCTTGGGACCCGGAGTTGCGTTGTGAGGAACTGTGTACTTGATTTTAATGTGAGCATACGTGGCGGCTGCCATGGGTGCACTGCAAGCGTTTCCATGTGACACTTCCAAGATCTGACACTCCGCCCTCGAATTGGTCTCCATTCGCAGCCGAAGAAAAGGGTACATTCCCAAAAGGAGGTTAATAATCTTCTCGCAGTCGTCCATAGCATCGTATATGGGAGGCTTGAGTGTAGGCTCCTCGTCGTGTCTGTTTGGGTCGGCCTGTCAAATCAGTCATGCAATCCGGTCGCAAATCACATTTATTGCGAAATTATCGCCAAGTGTGCAGCAGATGGAGAACAGACCTGAGGTATCAAATTGTCCTTTTCCAGTGTCATGCGCATGTCACACAAACGGTTGCACTAAAAGGCATCACAAAGATGACGGTGGGAGCCGAAGCATTAGAACATCTATGGCATAAAATACGCAGTCACCCTAATATCTTAGAAGTAACACATCCCTACCCTTTGAAAATTTCTTGCTATCAGTAAAATAGAGGCAACAACGATATGTGGTAAAATTCTGCTGAACCTTTTTCATACATCGTGCAAGTGTGTAACCAAGCCTTTGGATTTTACTTGTCAACTATTGTCAGACATTATAACTTTGGTGTCCGCTTGCCCTAAATCTGGCCATCTCAACCGATAAGTAGCCACAGACGAAGTGAACATTATTTCTAGTAGTGGTCAGATGACATTTCAAATGATTCTCGAGTTGATTAAACCAGGTAGTGCATGCTTCCCCTTTCTCTGCACTTTGATTGTTTCTTAACTTGCACCGCTTCGTTAATAAGGAAAATTTGTTTAATAAGACTTTACTCTAATGGAACATTTTGACACCAGAACCACCTCCATTCATCCTTTCCCCAGGCTTGCAGCTTGCTTTATGCTACCTGTTCTTCTTCGAATGTAAAGCAATAGAGGGGCATGCAGGATGCGACTACACCTTTACTCCTCCTTGGCCTAACTTGCCTAATTTCTCTTATCTAGCTAAGCGATGATTTGATATCTACACTGCTTCAGAATAAAATAGCACTCTTGTTTGTTCCTCAATAGTTTTTCTCCCTTACGCTTAAGGTTCATCATCTGGAGGAGACGGATCTCACCGGCAGCTGATTAGACACACACCAAGTACAGTGTTTTGGGAGATCTGAATTAGACTGCGTTGTAGAAGTATGGGTCAACGGAGCAGTAAACTTCTAAGTGATATCTGGTGATACCCTTACTTTCAGTCTTTCAAACATTTAAGTGAGGTGGATATACTTAGCTTGCAAGACCTCCTCAGTTAGTGTAGGTTCAAACAAACCGCCTCGTCATTTGCCTTACAGTGCTTGGCCAAAAGAATTTCGTGTGTTAATGTTAAGCAGAAAGATTTTGCAACAGCACAATCACTTCGTCTCCTCAAGTGTCGGGTTAGATGACATTAAGTTTTGTTCACTGGTTGACAAACGGACGCCAAGTCGCCTTTGAAGGTCATTTTAACATATGTCTAGCGTATATGCGCTTATTGACATTGCCATATTCTTTTTAATAAAATAAATGAAACTATAGGATTCTAACAGCCAAGGCTTTCAAACCGACCTCATGAGGTAGAAGTCAAGAAAATCTTTAATCTGTTTTGAGGAATATCGAGTTGTTAGGAAACTCATATAGGTAGCATAGGGCAAAGGAGAATTTTCTGCTTTCTCTTCTCTTTTTCTGCTTTCTCCATTTGAGCTCTTTCGTGTTTTCTCAATAAAATTGCTTAGTTCTCTATCATTTTTGACATGTGCTCTGCGACTTTCGTTGCTCCTGTGTATAAGCTGCCGTTGCTACTTGCTGAGATTGGCTTAATTAAGCTCAGCTTAGTAACTGGAATTATGCCACTTTAGCAAAGGTGTCGGTACTCCTCTGCTATTTCTTCTTCACATTTACCGACACCTAAAGAGAGGGTGTTTATAAATGGCAGTGGTGTAATTTTCTCATCAATTTTTAAGTATACATGGACTTACAATATTTTCGTAGGGATTAATCAAGTGGGCTTGATTTTTTTGCCTGAAAGATGATTTGGGCGTTTTCGAATCACTTACCAGACGTCATAAATCACCTCGACAAGCGTCGCCTTGTAGTATGCTAGCAGTCCGTTTATTCTGCCAACAATGCAAGAATCAGTCCAAGTCGATCAGGCCTGGTGGTAGTTGACACACAAACCAACCACCTCACCACATTCATTTATATGACATGAAAATATTAAATATTTTAATGAGCAGGCGAAAGTAAATGTGGTGAAACATGGCTCTGATGTGTGAGTGTTAAACTAAGACACAAAATACAGGAAGGCATGATAGGCGGTTGGGTATCGCTACTTGAATTAGGCTGAACTTGGAGTAGATATCTCGACTGTGTCAAATGTCACTGATAGATTTGGTAGCAAGTTGTGCTCGAACTTATCGAGCTGCGCTAGTATACAAGGGGTGAGGGGGTAAACTGATGTTTGATGACCCGATAATTGTCCTAAACATCTGTCGTCACCATTGTTGAGTGTAACTACCTAATCTGACTTAATGTCATCTGAGTATATTTTTTTAGCAAACAATCAGTAATGTGCACCTTATGTAATGGCAAGTCCTTTGGTGGCAGTCCTTTGTCTTTCTAAGGTTTGACATGACTTGATTCACGGAACTCGTTAGTAACAGATTCTGCCCTAGGCATCGCGGCTTGCGTAATAGTACTACAATTACACAACATGTGTGAGGGGATGCAAACCTGAAAGCATTTATAACAGTCTACCTCTGTATCCTTTCAATACTTATTTGTACTAATTAAAGAGATAGGCGATCCAGTAACGAGACGAATGTAAATTGCTAACATTTTTTAAGCTTAACCTTCATTACATGCACTATCTACCTCTGCCTAACTATTTAATCAAATTCGACTTTTATTTATCAATCTGAGTTGATTTTGGGTTTAACATACCTATTTTTTGTTCAATAGTAAGTGAGGCTCTTCTTTCAAAAAGCAGAATATCATATAGGAGCCTTCCACGCATACCGGATACCTTGCAGAAAAATACATCTAATTTTGATTTTGCAGCCACTTTTAAGGCAAAAGTAGCATGTTGAAATCCCAAAAAATATCAATGTTTTAATGGTCAGCAGTGATAGCTTTAGCTCCGAAAATATTCATGCTAGCAGATTGAGGTTAGCGCTACCCAAAACCATCAGTTTTGATATTAAAGTATTTTTTTCTTAATCAAAAATAAAATAATGGGCTAAAGGCAATGCACGGAGAACCATTTCAGAGCTCAAGACTTACAATCCATACGACAACACTGATTCTCTCAAATACTTCATCTGGCTTCTTCCAACCCGTAAGAAAATGACCTACTAATGAATCGTCAAATGTACCACATAAATGGCAAATTTTGTGCTCAATTATGCAAGTCTAAATTTAGCCTATTTTAGTTTGTTCGAAGATGTTTGCATCACACTTGTGCTAGTGAGTTGTTACTCAACATTGAAGTGGTCACCGCAGATGACTGTAGATAGGACATTTGTAGTTTCTGCATACATTGTAATAAACTAAACTCGCACAAAGCATTTATTGTAACCTATTTTCGCTTTTAATGACAAAAATG